CCAGCCCCCCGGCCCTCCCTCCGGCCCGCCCGCTCAGGTGCTGGAGCTGGTTTCGACTCATTCCCTGAGTTTCAGGCCTCACGGTGGCCTGAGCACCCGGGACAGCCCAGGGGTCCGTCCGCCGAGGAGCTCCAGGCAGCCAGCACTAGTCCCAGGGCAGGACCAGACTGTTTTACCGCCCAGCCCGGGGTCCTCACCTGCTGGAAATGTCCCTTCTCCGAATAACAACGGGCCAGCTAGTGTACCGGTCCAACGTGACCAGGTTTCTCAAAGAACAGGAAAGTCACCCCCGGGGCCTTCCTTGGTGTCCCAGACAGCTCCCCCAGAGCAAAGCTCCACGCTCCAAAGACTGCCGTCTGATGAGACCCAGGTCTCAGAGCAGCCCTCCGTAGTTCTGAGTACAAACAGTCCTGCAGCTCTCAAGGTGGGCAGGCAGCAGATCATTCCTAAGAGTTTGGCCTCGGAAATAAAAGTGACCAACAAATTCAGTTATCCAAACCTGGAGCCAGACAAGAGAGTTGTGAAGGTTCGCAGCATGGTGGAGGACCTTAACGTGCCTTTGGTAGCCGCTGGCGATGAAGAAACGGAAGGTGACTTGGATAGTCTAGGAACCCTGAGACGAGGGTTGAGATCTACTTCCTACCGCAGGGCAGTAGTGAGCGGCGTTGACTTTGACAGTTCTACAAATTTTAAGAAAAAAAACAGAATGTCCCAGCCTCTACTCAGAGCAGTGGTGGAAGATAAGGAGAAGTTTTCAAGCTTAGGAAGAATAAAGGTGAGTAAACTGGTGGGTGAAACTGAAGCAGTAACTTGAATGGTATTATATGATTTGCTGTGTTTTTCTGAGTGCTCTGTTTATGGTCAGCAACTTTTTTGTCGGTTCTGAAAATCTCTATGGTTATTTAAAATCTCTTCAGTTCCACTTTGATCAAAACAATACTTTCAAGGGGACACTTAATTTGAACCCAGGATGTTTACAATAAAAAGAGTGTTAGTAGTAGTTTCATGTTGTATGTCTGCCCCTGAGCCCCTCTGCCAATTTAGATGTTGTTTTGCAATCACACTTCTTTTTAAAATTGCTTCCCATGACCCAGTATGCCTGCGAGTACAGGAGTCAGTGCAACTGACTTCGCAAACTGCTGCTTAATGCAGAAAGTAAATGAACTGGCAAAAAAGAATAATGTTTTCCCCTTCTAATCTTTTTTTCAGATACAATAATCTTAGGCATTACTTGTAATAGTATATTTAAAACAGGCAGATTTTTAACTGACAAATAACTTTTACCTATGGTGTTGGTCTAATATGTGTCCTAAAAGTAGGATGATGGCTTATTTTAATACTCAGAATTAATCCTTTTTGAGTAATAGTGTTACTATATTTTATCATGTATTCACATACTAAATGATGCCACAAAGACTTGCTAACAAATTGGAAACATTTATTAATCTTTTTTTTGCTTGAATGTGTCACACTGACTTTTTCTTGTGTTTCATTTGCATTTGATGCTTCAAGCATTGCTTGTTTTAATAAATTGGTACATTACAAATTTCTGCAGGGTGACTTGGAATTGTGTGGTAAAGTACTCCAGGCAAGGCTTACAAGCTGTAACTATTGGAATATTGTAATGATCAACTACAGGATAATTTAATGTGAGGGTTGGAAGCTTTCAGAGAAATGAAATAAAGAAGCAGGAGGTCAATGTGTGGGCCATATCATGCCATCAGTTTTTTTGTGATGAGAGTTGTGATGGTTCTGCTTAAATTCTGATGATGTGATATTGCCCTCTGTCTCTCTCTCTCTTTTTTTTTTTTTGCTAGCAACATCTCTCTCTTTGATCAACTAAACTAATGGTATTTGAACCACATAAATGTCTGAAATGTAATGCTCAAATAAAGTCTATTTTGGAGGTTTGTTGTGGTCTCAGAAACTAACTTGCTGAATATTTGATTAGAGTTTTATTGTAGGGTGAACAGAAAGAAGCTAGTCACTCAAACATGAGATTTATAGGAAGGCTAAGAGGGAGTGAAATAAGTTAGTTCATTACACTCTTGTAAAGCCATTAAAGCTTTATTCAGTTTATAGGAAAAATACCACATGTAGGACAAATCTAAATAAATGATACATGACAGAAAAATATCCAGAGGAACTTTTAAAGTGAAACAATTTACAAGTGAAACAACTGTTGTATGAGAGACTTCCTAAGTTTATACATTAGGAATAAACGACTCAGTGCCTAAATATCAAATAAAGTACTATAGTACCTGTATGCTGTCAGCAGCTTGGTATGCTTATCTTCACATGCTGTTTCCTTTTTTCTATTAAAAATTAGAAGAAAATGCTGAAAGGACAAGGGACTTTTGATGGGGAAGGTAAGCACTGGCCTTTTGTGGAGGTTGTTTTTTACTATTTTAATGAATACTAAGAAAACATGCTTTCAATAGATAGAATAAATCCTAAAAGAAACTAACTTCAAGAAAATTATTTCATAGAATTCTTCAATGCTTTGTCAAAGCATCTTGGGAAATTAAAGGTTTGGGTTACCAATCAGTTGAAAATTCCTTTCTCTAATATTTTGTCTGACTGACAATGCTGCTTATGGAATTCTTTAACCAATATAGAAAGCCAGGTAAGGAAATACCTTAAACTTGAATATGAAAAGAAACTGGATTGTATGTTGTTTAAACCTCTGCTGGTATAAAGCACTGTGGAATTTCTACAAAAATGGTGCATTCCCATAAGCCAGTTTCAGGCCTCTAGAACAGTGGTTCTCAAACTTTTTCTTCACGGATCACTTAAATTTCTGAGGGTCTTGGTGGACCACTTAATAAACTTTTTTTTGTTCTACAAATCAAAGCACATAACTCATATTTTGATAGCAGTAGTCTTACCTTACAAGTGTAGATATTCTCAACTGTTCTGCAACCTTTCTGCGGACCACCTGAATGAATGGAGCTCATAGAGCAGTGGTGGTCCACGGACCACAGTTTGAGAACCTCTGCTCTAGAAGCATACCCACCTTACAGCTGTGTGGATGCAAGAATTAAGTTCTGGATTCAGCTTGCAGGCTGGGGGCTAAGTTGTCCTACTCTGGTGGGGGTGTTAACCACTGCTATCCTCTGCTCCCTGACCTTTACCAGTCCTTAGGAGAACTGTCTTTGCTGTCCAGGTTTTAATCCTTTCTTCTGTTGTAGCTTTTTGACACTTAAGTTTGCAGGCTAGGTATTATCTTTGTCTCTGCTCTTCCATGCTCTGTCTCTCACCTCTTACCCTGACTCTTGACAAGTTTGTTGTTTTCCCTGTATCTCCAGTTTTTTTTTTCTCTTCCTGTCTACAAAATCTTAGGGCTGTGGGATAATTTTGGTTTGACCATGCTCTCTTTGGCTTGTCCCTCTTTTTATCTCCCCTCCATTCAAAATCTGGTTGTCCTAATTCCGTTTTTATTACTTTGTCAATGTCTTCCATTTGTGTCTTTCCCATTCTATAACAGCTCCAACAATGTTCAGCTCCAACACTGTTTTTCCAGTTTTGGAGCACTCCACAATGATGTCTTGTCTTCATCTCTTCCAGCATCACTTTGTTTACCTTCACCTTTTCCTATGCTCTTAAGTGATTTTTTTGTTCTAGTTCACTTTTGACCATTCTCTTGCTCTCCTTTGTCAGTGTCACTTACATTACTTTCTCCATAATGCTAATCAGTTTCATTCCTTAGGAAACGTATCAAAACTGCATTTATTCTTTGAAGCCTACTAGTTCCAATTATCATGATGATATATATGTTATATGAAATAGTGATCGTATAACATTTTCATTATGGATTTGGATGATGGGATTGATTGCACACTTAGCAAATTTGCAGATGACACCAAATTAGGTAGAGTTGCAGACACTCTGGAGAACAAGCCTCGGATCCAGAATTCCCTGGGTAGACTGGAAATATGGTCTGCAATCAACCAGGTAAAATTCAACAAGGACAAATGCAAAGTCCTGCACTTGGGATGGAATAAATGCACACGCAAATACAGACTGGGGAATGATTGGCTAAGGTGCAGCACTGCAGAGAAGGACCTCTTGGTTACTGTAAGCTGTATAGTAGCCAATAGTGTTCTCTTGTTGCAAAAGAAAGCCACAGCATACTGAGTTGTATCAACAGAAGTGTCACTTGCAAATCAAGATAAGTAATTATTCTGTTCTATTCAGCACTAGTGAGGCGTCACCTGGAGTACTGTGTTCAGTTTCCCTTCCTCCCTCCCCCCGACACATACACTACAAGAAGGATGTGGAAAGATTGGAAAGAATCCAGTGAAGAGCAACAAAAATAAGGGGCTTGGGAAGCAGTACCTTTGAAAAAAGGCTGAAAGAGCTAGGGTTATTTAGTTTGGAGAAGAGAAGACTGAGGTGGAATTTTATCGGGCTCAGATAGTAGTAATCAATGGCTCGAGGTCTAGTTGGCAGCCAGTATCAATTAGAGTGCCCCAGGGGTCGGTCCTGGGGCCATTTTTGTTCAATATCTTAATCAATGACCTGGAAGATGGCATAGAGTGCACCCTCAGCAAGTTTGCAAATGACACTAAGCTGTAGGGAGTAGTAGGTATACTGGAGGGTAGGGCTAGGATTCAGAGTGACCTAGACAAATTGGAGGACTGGGCCAAAAGAAATCTCATGAGGTTCAACAAGGACAAGTGCTAAGTTCTGCACTTAGGACAGAACAATTCCATGCACCGGTACAGGCTAGGGTTGACTGGCTTGGTCAACAGCTCTGCAGAACAGGACATGGGGGTTATAGTGGACAATAAGCTGCAGATGAGCCAGCAGTGTGCCCTTGTTGCCAAGAAGGCTAACAGCATACTGGGCTGCATTGGTAAGTGTGTTGCCAGTAAGTCAAGTGTAGTGATTCTTCCCCTCTATTCAATACTGATGAGGCCACATCTGGAGTACTGTGTTCAGTTTTGGGCCCCCCCCACTACAGAAAGGATGTGGACAAATTGGAGAGAATCCAGTGAAGGACAATGAAAATTGTAAGGGGGTGGTGGACATGACTTCTGAGGAGAGGCTGAGGGAACTGGGTTTATTTAGTCTAGAGAAGAGAAGACTGAAGGTGATTTAATAGCAGCCTTCAACTACCTAAAGTGGGGTTTGGAAGAGGATGGAGCTAGACTGTTCTCAGTGGTGACAGATGACAGAACAAGGAGCAACAGTCTCAAGTTGCAGCAAGAGAAATTTAGGCTAGATATTAGGAAGAATTTTGTCACTTGGAGGGTAGTAAAACACTGGAAGAGTTTATCCAGAGAGATTGTGGACTCTCCATCCTTGGAAGTTTGTAAGACTCAGCTAGACAAAGCCTTGGCTGGGATGGTCCTGGTTTGAGCAGGGGGTTGGACTAGATGACCTCCTGAGGTCCCTTCCAATCCTAGTTTTCTATGAGTCTATGATTCTATGAAAATGCCTTGTGCATCTTAAAGTATTACACGAGCTTTTCTTGTATACATACTTGGCAGTAAGTGCGGAGTGAGGTGTTTTAATTAGAGAGGTTTCTGGAGAGCTGCTTTAGTTGAAATGCCTCAGCATCACGTGTATTAAGCCCTAGCCTGTTTAAAAATGGCCACAAGACCCTTTAATTAAAGCTCACTCAATGAGCTTCAGTTAAAGTGCCCCAGAGGCCATTTTTAAACCTTTGGGGGCTTATATACATGATATTGTGGCAATATTAGAGCATTCTAATTAGAACAAAGATTAATCAAGTCTGCTCCGATGCATTCTGATTAGAGTGTGTTAGAGCACTTGTGTAGACACCCAAGTATTTCTTCTCCTGTCAGATTGCATCCTGCCTTTGACTTCTCTTTGTTATTCCATGTATTTGCACAAAGTATGGGGCACAGGTATTTGGGGGGAGTGGGGATTAGTTTTAATTTTTATGCTTCTTTCTCATGTGCATTAATCTTAGTAGCACTAAGGCAGGGGTTTCAAACTCACCTTGTGCCCTAGGCCAGATCCAGACCATGAGGCTCCCAGTAGACTGAATCTGACCCCTAGTAGTGGCCACAGCCACAGCAGCAACAGTGGGGTAAGTAGTAGTGGGCCAGGAGGCTGCAGACCAATTGAAGGCTGTACAGCCCTCACTTGCCTGCTTCCTGCTGCTGATGGCCATGTCCACTGGGGTCCCAGGCCCCTAGGATCTGTAGTAGGCCATGCCAACCACTAGCCATGTTTCTAAATTCCCTGGCCCATTGGTAGCTCAGAGGTTTGGATGGATGATTTTGTGGGCTGGGCATCCCTGAATTAAAGTATGTAGAAAAAGGATGCTGAATAGCTTACAGGCATAGAGGGCTTATACTTACCAAAGCTAAGGGATGGGTATTGAGGTGTGTCCCACAAGTTCTGTTTTTGGCCAGTCCTAATTTAAAGTTCTGAAATTAAAATTTGGGCTTATTTTCTTCCCCCACTCTCAATGAACCCTAAAGATAATCTTCATGTGAATTCCAATGCATTGTAGGTTTGTAACCCCCTATTTTGCTGAATTTAATCATCAAATAATTGGACTTCTGGATTAAACACCTACTTTACTGATACCTTTTAAAAAGAAATTGAGCTAGTTATGAAATGTTATACAGCAAATTAGAGAAGAAATAAAATTGTTTTCTGGTTTTCCTTAACAAAGGATGCATCTGTTCTTTAATTCAGTCAGCAGGCATCTTTTTAATAGTGGCACAGTAATCCATTGTTACTGTACTGTGCCATTGTCCACCCTAAATGAGATGCTATCTTTGTCTTTGCTCACATAATGTGTGAGCAACGTGTATTATTTGCTTTATTCTATTGTTTGAATGTTACTTTATAACTCCGTTGAAAGAAAATGGCAAAACTTTCTGGTAATTAAGGATTTTTTTTTTTTTCCTAGAAAATGCTGTGCTGTATCAGAACTACAAAGAAAAAGCTTTGGACATAGATTCAGATGAAGATTCTGAGCCTAAAGAACAGAAAACAGATGAAAAGATTGTTGTTCAGTATAAACCTCTGAGATCAACGTGGAGTCAGCTGTCTGTAGTGAGTGTTTATTTGTTACATAGTCAATTAGAAAACAAATACAGCGTGCAAGAATGGATGGAAGCAAGTGCAATTTTCAGTTTGACATTTATGATCCTTATGTTGTTTCCCAAACATAAAGTGGTTGCAGATTTTTATGTTAATCCTCGGAGTTGAATTGACAAAGTATCATTAACATGAGGCCAAATTCTGAGGTATTAACTCATCTTTACTTAAATTCTACACAAACAAATGTCCATCAGCTTCAAACTATCTTAGTTAGGCCCACTGGAAAAGTTAAAAGCCAGGTAATTATCTAAATAAGATCAGCAATATAAGGCTTTTTCCTTCGTTAAAGAAAATGGATAACACGAAGAAATGGGCATGCATAAGAAGTTATTTTTTCCACTCAACCGGAAATTCTATCCTTTATCTGTGTGAGAATATTAGTAGAACTAGAAATAATACTCTAGATTAATAGATACCTTTTTGGTATATATTGCAAATAAAAATAAGTAGAATAAGGGAGGATAAGTTATTAAGCAAAGGATTGTGAGTTGTAGTTCAGCTTTATGTACATAAAGCTGTCTTACAAACTTACATAATCAACAGATTTGTAAATTCAAGCCTTTGCTTAAAGCCCGCAGTTATCCATATCACTTTTAGCTCATATTCAAGCTTTAGGGCTTGATTTTTGCAAACAGTTTCCATAGGGGACCATGCATAGTTCTTAGGCCTTATATATATGGGATCCTCCACTTGTGTACACATCAATACAAACCTTTAGAATAGATCTGTGGTGCTCAACTTTCCAGCCTCAAGGGACATATGAGTGGCATGGGATCAGTCCACAGGCTGGATCCCACATGGGGTTAGTCCATTGGCCCTACCCTATGTGACAAGATGCAGCCACACACTGGCCTGACCCCACACACCCAGAAGTGACTGTTCAAACCCAGGGGTTTCAATCTATTATGTACAGGCAGTCCTCAACTTGCAGCGGCTTGACTTGCAGTAATCCACACTTGCAGCGCTCCGCATTTTACACCTATGTTATTACTACGCCGCTGATCGTTGTGCTTAGGGCATGACATAAGTGTAAGGATCCAGCACTGTATGTCATTCAGTCACTGCTCTGGTGTCCTGATGTGTAAGTTTCTTCTACTTCCAAATTAAAGAACCTGAGCTGCCCATTGTACTCTATGGCTGTAATGCCTTTGCAATGTTGAGGGGAGTTCTCTGTCTTTTAGCAAACCAACGAACGGGGCTGCCAGGCAGAGCTCCGAGCTCCACAGAGAAAGGCTTCCTCCCTTCTGCTCAGCAGTGTAAGTTGAGTGGCAAGTGCCTCGTGTGGGGAGGGGCCCAGAAATAGCTGTAGCTGCAGCTGGGTGCTCCAGGCAACATCGCTCCATGCACTGCCCTGGCCCCAGCTGCCCTACTATGCCCCCATTGTGCTGGGGCCATGCTGGTTCTTACACTAGCTTCATCCCCACTGACATCCTGCCCTACCTTGCTCTCCTCTGCTTGCTCACCACTCCTGTCAACACAGGGTTATGGGGGGCTCTGGCAATTGCTGTCTCTTGGCCTTTCATCCCAGTGTGAGTAATTATTTATACAGTCAGAATCAACATGGTCTATAGTAAAGTTGAATAGTTGATTAAACAAAATTAAGTAGTTGATTTAAATATGGTGTTTATGGTCATTTCTATGAAAACTTGGGCATCAGGCCCTTGGTCAGGAATGTAACCCCCTATTATAACATTGTTTCTATGGGAAAATCAGATTCGACTTGCATCGTTTCGACTTACAGCTCCTTTTCCAGGAACGTAACCCGTTGTAAGTGCGAGGACTGCCTGTAATGGATGTTGGGATCACTTTTTCTAAGTCATTATCTATTTTGCTGCCTTTCTGTGCTGCTTTGTTTGTGTGTGGTACATTAAAATCAAAGGCCAAAGAGTTCATGACTAATGATGAAATGTAAAAGGAATAAACAGAGAAGATAACTTCTGAACCTGTGAATTCCACCAAGCAGCCAGAGGGGGATACAACATGAGATAATGAATCTGAGGTTATTAGACTAGTAGTAACAAGTTCTCTCTCATGCACTGAATACAGGCTGTATAGTTTTTGCACCTCTTTTGTATAGCTTTTCTACTAGTTTTGGAAATATCTGGCAACACATATTAAACAGTACTTCTCTCTGATTTTAGAGGCATGGAAGATAGCAAAACTTTACTGATTTTTTGTTTGCATTGTAGTAGTACCTGGGGTCAGGACTCCATTGTACTAGGGATTCTTTCAACAAAATAAAAAGATTGTCTCTGCAGTGTTTGAAATCTAAGTACCTTTTCATGCTTTTTCTGGCTTTTTCATGCTTTTTCAGAGCCAGTATCAATATGCCTTTGTAGAAGTAAAAAAATACTTCTGAAGAGGAGCACTATTTTCTTTCTTAGGATAATGTCAAAATTAGGTTGAGATTACTGTGCCATCTACATACGGTATATGTCAGCAATAAGAACATACTTTTTAAGGGATTTTTAGCATTTTCTAATATTGCCAAAGAAGGGTTGGAATGCTGGTGGAGGAACCCCCTCCCCTGCCACCTATTTATAGAAATATGGTATATTCATGGTAGAAAAACACTTGACTTGTTTATTCAAACAAAATTATTAAGAAGCTGCTGGCCTTTGAGTGATCGGTTATTTGTTTATATTATCCATTCTAAAGCAGATTCATTAGCTGATGTAGTCAATGTGAGGACTTCCTTTCATTTTGAATGGTAGGTGGATTATTTCCTTTTCCTTTCATCGTTTCCTAAGAGTAACTCCAAAATGCATGAGCAAAAGGGACAGTCTTTATACTCCTTCCGACCCAAACACAGTTAATTTCTGGGTATTGCTGGCAGGTCAATTTCTTCCAAAGTTGTATCACTAACGGTATGATGTAGTATCAGTTAAACCAATGCAAAGGACCATGTGGATATTTTAAATTCAATAAAGCCCTGATGATAACAAATTCAACTATAGTTGTTTAGGAACAGGTTTAACATAGGGGAAAACAGACCCTCATCTTGGATTTGAGCATAAGCCATGGGACTAGGGAGGATGGGGAGTGGCAGCAGACTGTAGCTCTAACTCTGGCTCCAGCTCAGCAGCAGTGGTTGTGATAGCGGCAGTTTTGCCTTTGGTGAGTACCAAAACTGCCACCAGAACTACCACAACCATTGCCACTGCTGTGTGGCCATGCAGGGCCCAGAGTGACCATATACTCTATGACCCGGTCCAGAGTGGGTTCAGAGCAGGAGCTGGGGGGAGTCATGGAGCTGCAGAGTCGTGGAGTGGAGGGTGGGGGGAAACAGGCGACACAAAGAGGGGGCAGGCAAGAAGAAAGACAAGTGGTGGAGGAGCAGTTGTTCAGGGGTGCAGGCAAGAGTCAAGGCAAGTGCTAAGGGGGACAGATGCCAGATAATGCATGCATGGGGGATCAGGCGGGAGTGGGGGCAAGTAGCAGGGGGCAGGTGTTAGGGGGCAGACTCCAGGTGGTGCCCATTGGGGGAGGGGCATGTGGTGGGTTGACAAGTGGAAAGGGGCAGGGGTCAGCCCACTTGATTCCCATGCACCCCTACCACCTGCCCCACTGTTACTTGCATCAATGTAGCAGTGGTGGGGATTAATTTAAGATGACCATACAATAGTTAGATTCTCTATGTAGAATATTATAACACATTTATAAGTTTTCCACATGTAGAATCTTATTTTTGTGGGGGTTGTCTTAATTCATAGATTCATAGATGATTCATAGATGTTAGGGTCAGAAGGGACCTCAATAGATCATCGAGTCCGACCCCCTGCATGACCCCAGCTAGATGCATATCCAACCTCCTCTTGAAGACCCCCAGGATAGGGGAGAACACCACCTCCCTTGGGAGCCCGTTCCAGACCTTGGCCACTCTAACTGTGAAGAAGTTCTTCCTAATGTCCAGTCTAAATCTGCTCTCTGCTAGCTTGTGGCCATTATTTCTTGTAACCCCCAGGGGTGCCTTGGTGAATAAAACCTCACCAATTCCCTTCTGTGCCCCCGTGTTGAACTTATAGGCAGCCACAAGGTCGCCTCTCAACCTTCTCTTGCGGAGGCTGAAAAGGTCCAGGTTCTCTAGTCTC